GGTGGAACCCAATTTGCTGGTTTTGAGGAACCCAGCAAATGGGTTCCATCGAACTCGAGTTAACCCAAATCAGTTGGGTTTAAAGGAACCCAGCAACACAGGAGAAGAAGAGGAAGAAAGAAAGGAAGAAGATGGATCAAGAAAGGGAGATAAGGGTATTAAGGTAAATTTTTAGTTTTTATTTTTTTATTAAAAATATAAATACTAATCTAATTTGGTATACGAGTTGGCGTTGGGACATGTCATCAAAAAAAAGGTCTAAATCATCACCTTTTTAAGTTGTTTTCGCCATATCAACAAAAAAAAAAAAAATGTCACATGGGCGAAGTTAACGGCCCTAAGTGACAGAAAGACAAACGTTGTGCATTTCTTAGAGTTGAGAGATAAAAAATATGTATAAAATACTTTAGGGACCAAAAATGTGCAAATCGATAAAGTTGAGAGACCAAAATGAGCATTTAACCTTTCTAATACTACTTTTGATTTATGCTTTCAATTTCCTTTTTTTTTTTTCATTATTTCATAATATTTGAAAAATATTATAGTTTTTCAATTAGTTTTTGTAGATTTATCTATATATATATATATATATATTATTGCAACACATGGTTGTTTTACATATATTTGGGTTAATATTTATAATTTAATTAATAAATGTAAAGTTATTTTGTTAATTTTTTTTAAATCAGATATCAACATAATCGACAATCATGTCTATTAATTATACTTATTTTCGACCCACGTTTATTCAATAATTTTTTTTGTTGATTAATTTCTTATATAATCAACAGAAAATTCTGTTGATTAAAAATTGTTTTCTAATAGTGATTAGGTTCATATGGAGGTCTTGCCTACCACCTGACTTCATATGGTTAGGCAGATTTTTGGTCCCTGTTTTTATCTTACTTGCATTTACCTTTTCCTCCTTCATGTAGTAGGAGTCACATTCTTTAATCCCAAAACCTCCCCCCATTCAAAAGTGAACCTTTTGGTATCGATGTATCCAGCAACTAGTAGATGCATATGGATATGGTTAGGCAGATGCATCTCTATAAAAATGGTCAGCCATTTGTCATTTGGTATGGGGTAATGTTATTTGTGTTCTTAGTTATAGGTCTAAAGCTCAATACATAATTTCTACATTAAAAAAAATTATATACAAATGCAAAATTTTTGTATTTTTACCTCCGCTTAAACCGGTTTCTTACCCACGTGTATCACGTCGGTAAACTCATCTCCGACGTGATACACATAGCCGAAGACCTCTATATAATACCAAAACTCCATATCTCGTTCATTTTTTTCTTTCCATCCTTTCTTCTTCTTTCTTCTTTCTCGCTTATCTTTCTCTTCTATCAAATGCTTTTGATTTTTCTTGTTTATAATTATATTATATTCATGTTATTTTTTATTTATTTCTTCTCCATATCCTCTCTTTTTCTCTTCTATTCTTTTTTCTTAATTTATTAAACACTAATTTGAGATATTCAAGTTATTTAGAGTTCCAATTTTCTTTTTTGCATGTTATTTTGTAGGAAACATTTGGAGAAAAACA